TTACAGCTTGCTTTTTGTCAAGGTTAATTCCCACACTATGAAACCAAGTCTCTCAGGTTCAAATCTCTCTCATCACCACCTCATGACAGTCTACAGATTGGCATTTTGTAGCTTCCTTCTGCTTTTTTTTTTTTTTTTAAGTTTAAGCTTCTGGGGAACTGAATAAGATCTGGATGTCTGCTTTTGCACTAGTACCTTGCCTAGGGAAAGGGTAGATGAATATCAAACCATTCAAAAGAGGCATGTCTACAGACTGTAGCATAGTGTACATACTACCCAGGAGATAGCTTTAAAAAAAGAAAACCAAAAAACCTAGCTCTTGTGCTAGGAAACAGACCATAGCTATAGGAGGATACAGCACCGCAGTGCATAATATAATTTGCCATGTCAAGAAGCAAGGTGAAATTATCCCCACATGGAGCTCTGTGTGGCTGCTGCAAGACTGGCCTGTTTGGGATGTGCACGTCTGCCATGAACCAAACTAGATTCATCAACTCAGCTCCCATTGGCAATGAGTAACACCTGCTCAGAGGCCCTCTGGACTGAATTCAAATAGACAAAGAGACCTAGCTCCCTTCAGCTATACAAGGTAGCTTAGGCTCAAGTAGCAATTATAGAGAAAAAGTCATTTAGTGACTGACTCGCACATTCCAGCAAGCACTTGCTTTAGAAGGATTATTTCTAGGCATTTTAAATACAGGAACTTAAATATATAGGAATATAGGAGTAGAAGGGACCAGGGCCGGCTCATCCATGCATGCAAAAATTGCGGCTGCAAGGGGCCCTGCAACCAAGGGGCCCCATGCAGCCAACGTCCTCCCCAGCAGGGAGGTGAAAGCTGCAGTTTTAAACTCTGCACCCATTTTCAGCATCAAGTTTAAATCTGTGGCTTTCACATTTGCTCCCCTGGCAGCTGAAAGACCCCTCCTCCAATGGGGGTGGGGGGTGGGGAAAGAGCACGGCTGGGGTCTTGTCTGAAGAGCCCCACCATGCCTGTGGGCCAGGTGGTGCTGAGCCAGGCTGGGAGAGCCCTGCTTTACCTGCTCCCCACCAGGACCAGCCCAACCTAGCCCAGCCCTCTGCATCTGCAGAGCTGCTTGGGATGGCTGAGCAGCAGCTCCCTGCACGCAAGTGTAAAGGGAGGTGGAGGGGAGTGAGACTGAGCTGCTGGGGAGGGGAGGGGCACAGTCTTTGTAATATCTTTTATTAGACCAACTAAATAGTTAGAAACATTTTTCTTAGCAAGCTTTTGGCCTTAAAAGCCCTTGGTCAGGCTGGGGAAGCACCTGCAGTTGGTGTGCGCTCTTCCTGGATAGAATGAATAGTAAAGAGGCTGGGGTCCAGTAGGAAGGGCAGTCAGTGAAGACGTGAATTGAGGAGTCAGTGGGTGAGAGCCAGGCTGCGAGTAGGGGCGGGGGGAATGAATGTAGCAGGGAAAAGTCAAGAGGTCCCTAGAGAGCCAGACATCAGGCGATTTATAGTGTCATAAATCCAATGTCTACATTTAGTCCAGGGATGTACGTAGTAGCCGTGTCTTTGAGAGTTGTGCTGAGCTGCTCTTTGGTATGTAGACCAGGTAAAATTCCTCCCTTGGAGGTGTCAGATGGCAGGCGGGGGTAAAACAAAAAAAAACCTCTCTTGTTCTGAAATAGTTTAAAATCCAAAAATTGGCTAGAATTCTGCATCTTCCATGTTTCAGGGATGTACTTGGTAGCCGTGTTGGTCCGAGACTAGAAGAAATACAAAAATGTAGAACTCTCGGTTCCAAAATTATACTTTTTATTAGGCCAACTGGGAAAAATCACAGGAAAAAGCTGGACCCAGAAGGACAGCTTTCCATTAGGGCTGTGCAAAATTTCACCACGTATTTCGTTTCGAAACTGCTTCAATGCGTTTCAAGCTCAAAACAGTGAAATAGAAATGAAACAAAAGGCTTCAAAACAACTTTGAAATGGAATAAAGGTACTTGAAATGCTTTGAGTTTCAAAGCCAGGCTTACCTGGCTTCAGTGGCGGCAGCCTCCTTTCATCCAGCGCGCAGATCTGGGGGCCCGCACCAGCAGGAGGGCTGCAGGGCTGAGCCCGACTCCTCCCGGGAATGCAAGCTCCCAGATCTGCACACCAGATGAGAGGAGATTCAGGCTGCCACTGCTGCCCAGGACAGCAATCTTCTCCAGTGCTGGGTGCAGCCCATGCCCAGTGCCAGTCCCAGGTGGGAGAGGCAGCCTCCTCTCATCTGGGGCACAGATCCGGGGGCTCACACCCAGATGAGAAGAGGCTACCGCTGTCAGCAAGTGTCAGGAGTTTTGCTATGAAGAGTTTGAGGTGCTTTTTCCTAGAAACCTCTGCACCTATTTCCTTGAAACTTGTCAGACCTCATGCCCACAGAAGGGGATAACATCCCTGCAATTTTTCATCCAAATCAGGTAAGAAACGACAATGTTTTAGGCTTAATTAGGTAATCATGAAAATGCCTATGGATGAAATGTCAAAACAGTTTTGACGAAACGAAACGGGGACAGTGCTTCAAAATGACAAAACGAAACCCTGTACCTTCAAAACGGTGAAACGGACATCAAAATGAAACGATAGCGTTTCTCACAGCCCTACTTTTCATCTCCAGCTCCCTCTGTGCAAAAATGAAGCTCATTTCCTACCTATAGGGACTTCTTACCATCTATACTTTTTTTTCAGAGCCTAATGAAGGGCCTTTGAGCCCAAAAGCTTGTAGAAAAGGACAATTTTCTTGTGATTTCCCAGTTGGTCTAAAAAAAAGGGATCATTTTGGAACCAAGAGTTCTAGATTTTTGTATTTCTTCTACGTTTAGTCCATGATTTTTTGTATCCAGGAGGTTGATGAAGTGAAGTTCATAGGCTCGTCTGTGAAAAGTGCTTTGCAAATTCCCTTTGAGGATTAATACTGAGAGATTGGAGAGAGTGGTTTTCTTGTGAGACGTGTGTCCCCACATGTAACTGGATCTTCTGGTCTTTAAATAGATGTTCAGTGTGTGTTCATTCTGGTGAGCCATTGTTGTTTGGTCTCTCCTATGCATTTTCCATCAGGGCATTTGGTGCACTGAATGAGATATATAGAACATTTCTGGAAGTGCAGGTGCAAGATCCAGGAACAGTGATGGCTCTGTTGTGGGGTGTAGTAATTGTGGGGGTGATGAAGATATGTTGGCAGGTTTTGCATTTCTTTTCATGGCATGGCCTGGATCCATTTGGTGGGTTTTGGGCCATAGGAAGTTTGCTTCTGATGATGAGGTTAGCAAGATTCAGTGCTTATTTAAAAGGCTAGGATGGGTGAATCTGGGAAGATCTCTTTAAGAACTGGGTCTCCTTCTAGTATGGGTTGCAATTGTTTGAGGTTCGAGGGACGGGTGATATGTCATAACCAGCGGTGTGCGATTTGTGAGGGTTTTTGCTCTGCACTGCAGCAATTCTTCACGTGGTATCTGGGTGGCTCTTTCAAATGTGCATCCGTCTCTCTGGAGGTTGTGCAGAAGCCTTTTTAAAATTTGTGAGGTAGCAATCCCAGGTGTTCTCCTCAGTGCAAATATAGTGGGATTCGAGGTTTTGGCTGTGTATTACAGGTTTCCTGGTATGTTTAGGGTGATTGCTGGTTCTGTGCAGATATATGTGTTGGTCTGCAGGTTTCTTGTATAACGTGATCTATATTTGACCATTCTGGATGCTGATCGCCATGTCTACAAAGGTGATGTTAGTGCTGGAGTACTCAAGAGATAGTTGGATGGAGGGATGAGGATGGCTGAATTTCTGATGGAACTCAATCGGAGATTGCAGGTTTTCAGTCCAAATGATGAAGATGTCGATATATCTTAAGTATAGCAATGGTTTGATGGTGCAGTCTTTGAGGAATTCTTCTTCCACGTGGCTCATAAAAAGGTTGGCATACTGTGTGGGGCCATTTTGGTGGAGGAAGTGTTGGTTATTAAAAGTAAAATTGTTGTGTGCAAGGATGAAAAATATCATGTCAGTAATATCTTTGGGTCTGTAGTCAGTTGTCATCTTGCTCTTGTAGGTAGGTAAGGAAGGCTTGGATGTAAGGCAGCGGGATGTTGGTATATAAGCTGGTAACATCCATGGTGGCTAGGAGGGTGTTGCTGGGAAGGTGGTCTATGTTTTTAAGTTTTCGTAGAAAGTTTGTAGTGTCTTGGACAAAACTCGCTCTTTTGGTAACAAGTGGTTTAAGGATCGATTCCACAAAACCCACCGATTCTCTCACCCGCTGACTTCTCAATTTATATTTTCACTGCCTGGCTTGCATGCAGCCCGGCCTCTGGCTTCTTTAATATTCATGCCATCCAGGAACAGCACACACTAACTGCAGATGCTCTCTCAGCCTGATCAAGAGTTTTTAAACCTGAAAGCTTGCTAGAAAAGTGTTTCCAACTATTATTTTGGTCTAACAAAAGATATCAAAGAATCTCATCTGCCATGTGTATGAGTACATTTGGGTGTACTGGGGGTGGGGAACAGGGAGAAGTGGTGGGCATACGTTCCCCAACCCGGCAGAGTCCCCCCCAGCCTCCTCTGCCAACCCAGGTCTCATGGGGGGGGGGGGAGGGGGCGGCCCGCTGGGTCGGCCAGGGCCCCAGTACACCTTAATCTGCCTCTGCACTTGCCACCTCCCCCCAGTTGCTGATGCCTTCTTTGCAAAGCTATGGCTTGCAGGGGGCCCAAAAAAGATGTGGGCCTCTTAGATTGAGTCTAGTCCTTTGCATTTGTAGGCTATAAAAGCAATAAGCCACAATACCCAGAACAATCATACAAGGGAGACAAGGGCACCGTCACTGCACCCTGTTGTAAAGCAGCAATATATTGCTTGCATGCATACTCCATCTTTGGACCATATAAAGGGGATTAGAGCTTTTTTGGTATCTATTTCTCATTTGGTATGCAAGTACCTTACTGTAACCAATAAAATAAAATTTAAGAAATAAAATCAGGCTTCTTGGATCTATTTCACATACTTACTTTTCAGGAGTCATGTATTCTTCTTCCACAGCAGCTGCAAACAAAACACAAGTGCATGCTTGGTACTTCTGTGCTAGAAAACAGTTTCGCTCCTACCACAGTGAATGTTGGACTTGAGTCAAACAGTTTAGTGGGATAAATAGGACAAGTGGCTCACTGCTCACTGGAACCGAGTACCATAGTAAGGTTCAAAAAGGCAGGATATTTAGATGCAGATTTCAGGGACCAACTTTATCTGTACACACCTTCCTTTGTGCCATAAGTTCAGGCAACACTGCTAGGTGATGCAGGAGATTAATATTAGAACAGCATTAAAGTTTATTATTATTATTGTTCAGGGAAACATCCACAGACATTTTCTCTACCACCTCTTATGTCACATTAAAAGCACTTGGCAGTCCGAACCCAGAATACAAAGGAGCTTTGCGTCTCATAAATATCCTGTTAACCAACATTAAGAATGAAAGGCCCATAGAGCTCATCATATCGAAACCGACATTTTGCCAGTCCTTTCTAAGAAATGCGGCTGTCGTCAAATGCGATAAGAACGGAGCAAAAATACTGGGAATAATTAAGACTATCTATAAAATTATAATGGTTTTGCAACTTAAATCAGTAAACCAAAAAGATATTCCCATGTAATGCCAGCGAGTTGTGTACAATGAGAAATAGAAACTTTGCTTTTTGAGGTGTAACCTTATGATTGTTTTAAGATAAATGGAAATTAATGCATCGTTTTCCACTGATCTTATTGCGTATGTTCACAATCCTAGGTGCATAAATGTATTTCATACTGAGAGAGTGCTAAAGTTCAGTTAGCATAAGGAACTAGCCTGAACTTGTTTCGCAGCTGACTGTAGCTGCTGACAATGCCTAGAATCAGTTGGTGCCAACAATGCTGGAAGGAAAATGGAGTTTGTCCTGAAGGTATGTCAAATATTCAAACTATTTGTGTTCCAAATCTGACGGGGAAGAAACTAAACAAAAAATAAATAAATCCAATGTTCAGTGAAAAATTTGGGGATTTTTGGTTTGTTTTCTTTAAAGGAATTTCCCCTCTGTTTTAAAGCCCCAAACCAAAGATATTAAAAAAAAAAATAAATAAATAAATAAAACTTATGATTTAATATTGATACTTTTGTATTAATAATAATAAAAAACAGCCTGCACATGAAGTAGCTCCATTCCAATGAAACTGCATTATCTGCAGGTTCAAGGATTTCTGTACAGAAGTTTTCACTCTATTCTACCAGAGTTTAAAAAAGATTCTCCTACCAGTTTTGCCGCTTCTTTCGAGCGGTGATGCTGAATGCTGGAAGCTACAGAGATTGACTTTTGGGGGTCTCTGTGGTTTCTCTGGAGGGGGACCAAGAGATTCAACAGAAGGAAGGGGCTTAATTTTGGGAAGCTTGTTATCGGTAACATCAAGCTGCTTTTCGGGGGCGGAGTGATGGTGGAAATGTTCCGATGCCGTTTCTGAAAGAATCACAAGCACAAATTTAGTTATTCATTCATTTCAAGCAAAAATCCAAAGCAGGTTTATATTAGCCAGAAACACATTTCCAACCATCAGTGTCACGATCTCCTTCCCAGTTAAAAATTCCTTTTATACAGAGGCTATTTTAACATGCTACAAGACTGACAGGTCATTAGATAAAGCACCCTTCGCTGTCTCTTGTTTCATCAGGTTTTTATCAAATTGGTTCAGTTTGGGCCCCAGCAATCTTGACAGCCACATTTTCTTGATTTATTATCAAATCCTGGGCTAATTTTCTGAACCAATACATTTTTAATCTGCTAAAAACATAGCTGTGTTGCTCTCTCAAATATGCATTCAAGAAAGGTAATGAGGGAGCTTTCCAGGGTAAACAAAGATTTAATCTTTTCAATATTCTGGCACTGAATCTAAAGTTGCCCAAATTAACTTGCTACCTAATATCTGTAGGGTTCCCATAGCAAGGACAAACACTCGAAGTAGGGAGCATCTACACGAAATCTTTACTGTGGAGTAATCTTTACTGTGGACTAATTAGCTCCGCTGTAGATGTTGGCGTCTACAAGTGCAGGGCTATTAGGCTGGAGTAAACTAAAACTCTGCAGCAGGGTAGTACTTGTAAATACAAGTAGTAAATACAAGTACTACCCTGCTGCAAAGTTTTTTTTACACCGCAGCAGCACACATGTAGACGCTAACCCAGCTGGCTGGGGCACGAAGGTGCTTCAGTGCAGGGGCTGCATATCAGGAAGCTCCATGCTAGAGCATCTTCGTGCCCTTGCCAGCCCCTCCACAGCACAGCGAGCCAGGTCAAAGCAGACCTGGGCTGGCAGGCTGACCCCCTAATCCCCCTGCCAGTCAGGGCTGCTCCAACCTGGCTCAGTGTGCTGCAGTCCCAGGTGCATGTTCAAATGGTGTGCCCAGGAGCAATAGCCTCCGGTGCAATGAGTACCAGGTTATTGCATGTGTAGATTCACCTGGAGAGAACACGCATTTGCTTTGGACCTGAACTTTCTCCAAATTGTATAGGACGTATACAGGATCAGGATATTCTCACTGGACTCCACTGCAGTTATAGAAAACAAAGCCCTTCATTTTTGCTGGGCATGTGAAATATGAACAAGGCATAAGAATCACCTTTGTACACTACTGGGAGGTAAGCAGCAACAGCCAAATTGATTCTAATAAATAAATTAATTAATTAAAATCACACATTTTCTCCCTCAGTCTACTCCCAGGATTTGACCCAACTTGCTACCACTTCAGTTGGAGAGAACATAATTTGCCAACTTCTCATTTTCTCTCTATGCCCAGATTATCACTTTTGAGCATCCCTAAAATCTCAGTGCTGGGCACCTGGATATTAATTGGCAACTTCAAAACATCACCAGGAAAGATACTGCTCAGGATGCTTCCTCTTCTGTTCTACGGTCCTTATTTGCATGGCCAAACTGACCCCAACCTCTGGCTTTTTTGTGGATCTGAGTTAGAGTGCAGATGATCAATCTTCAAAACACCCTGGGAGGGAGAGAGACCCGTTGCTGGGATCTTCTATATAGGATGTGCTTACCTTTAGAGTAAGGAAGGGTCTCACTTGAATCTTGCTGGTTATAAAATGGCTGGCAAAGTCCAGTGACACCAGTGGTTTTGGAAGGGGCTGGTTCAGTGCCTTTGTATCTTCTGGCTGGGAGTGGCGGGGATGGCGCATGGGGAAGTGCAGAAACTCCGCTGTGTGAAGCAGTGTTCTTTTGGGTAGAAAAATCCTGGGTTTGTTCATTGCCCGCAGTTCTCATTTTGCTACTCTCTGCTGCAGTGGCAGTATTTGTAGCCCTCGGCTGTGCACTAGAGCATGTCCCATTTGCACGGTGTCGCGGGGGGACCATCGCACACTTCCTATCATTCTGAGACGCAGCACTTTCCCAGATCTGCCGAGCATGCTGGAAGGAATTTTTTATTGACGCATCCTCTGAATTTGCATTAACAGTTCCTTGCTGATAAACACACGAGTTTGGACAGGGTTTCCATGGAACTTCCTTAGGAAGGGCATTGCCACCAACAGCTACCTGTAGGACTTTATCCTTTGGATCTTCATCCTTCCCACTCAGATGCAAATTGCTGAACTTGGCTCGAGGCATTGCCAAAGGCTTGGAGTGTGTTAGCTCCGAGTTGCGTACAGTGTAACAAAACTGCTCCTCCTTTTGTTTGCATGCCAATCTCTCTTCCTTGCTTGGGATTTTGGGGCCGGATACATGCTTACCATCACTGCAAGATGGGTGTAAAAAATCTGCGGGAGGCCTCTTGGCTGGTTGTAACAGAGTATTTGAAAAATTGGAGTTGTTTTGAAATTTGGCTCGAAGTGCTTTGAAGTCATTAACGCCTTCCTGAAGGAGGAGAAGCAAAGACTATTAGTATCCAATGGGTTCAAAATGTATTTGTAGGGAAATAGAATCATAAAGAAGTAGGGCTGGAAAGGACCTCAGGAAGTCATCTAATCCAACCTCCACCCAATGCCAGATCATCCCTGTTGAAACCATCTCATCCAGTGTTTGCTAACCTTGCAAAAACATCCAATCATGGATACTCCACACTTGAGTTAGTCTGTTCCAGTATCCAACTGTTCTTGCAATTAGGAAGTCCTTCCTAAAATCCAACCTCTCATGCTACTATTTAAGACCATCATTTCTTACTCTTTCCTCAAAACCACAATGAAAGGTCTATCATCAAATCCCTTCTAATGACTCATAATGTCTTTGCATGCTTATTTTAGAAAAGAAAAAGATTATAACCCTACAGCAAGTGAACAAGCATTGCATGACTTGCTAGAAATATGCAAATGCTATAGCATAAAAACAATATTGTGTCATGCATTTACATTTTATTTGAGATGGACAACTTCAGCATGAGCCCCTCACCCACTTAAGCACAACCTCCAAAGGGTTAAACAAAAACCTGAATAAGCAGATGTTAGAAAATCATTGGTAACACTCATTCCACAGTCCCACAAGCTACTGACCATGCAAGTACTCCATTAAAGACAGTGGAAGGAAGACGTATTTAGGATCATAGGAAGGTGGGGCTGGAAGGGACCTCACATGGTCATCTAGTCCAGCCCCCTGCTAAAAGCAGGATCATCCTTGATTAAAACTATCCCAACCAAGTGTCTGTCTAATCTGCTTTTGAAAGTTTCCAGTGATGGAAATTCCACAACTTCACTAGGCAGCTCGTCTCAAAAACTGACCACACTCATAGTAAAGAAAAACAACAAAAACTCATGGAGTCATAGAAAATTAGGGCTGGAAGGAACCTTCGGAGGTCATCTAGTCTAGTGTTTCTCAACCTGTGGGTCATGGCCCAAAAATGTGTCATAAGGATATTTGAAAGGTTCAAGAACAATCACAGAAAACTGTGGCAAAGCACGAGTTTCCCTTTCGGGCTGGCAGCATTCCAGACTGCAAGAGGCTGGGGGATGCAGGGGATGCCATATGCATGTGCATACATGCATGTGGCAGCCAGGCAGGATGGAGAGCAGGTCCTGCAGTTCCCAGCAGGTAAATCTATGGGACAAGGGGGACAGAGATAACACAGAGTGTGGGGCATGTCCCTCCCCAGATTTGTGCAGAAATGGGGCTGCAGCCTGGCCAGACCAGCATGGGCAGGAGCCACCTCCTTGGCCCGGTGAGTAGGTCCCAGTGTGGAGCACCAAAACTAGTTGCCAGGAGCTGGGCCGTGGTGGTAGTGTAGCTCGGTGCGCAAGCAGTTAGCTGGTGGTGGGAGGAAACGTGGGCAGCGTGGACCCCCTCCTGTCCATTACCTCTCAGGTTGCTGGTGGTTCAGCTGGCATGGGGTTCACGGCAGCAGCAGCAATTAATCTCACTGTCCCACTCCACCCTCCTGCCTTGGGACCCACCTGCTTGGCAATGAAGGAAGGTCTTTCCTGTGCTGATCTGGCCAGGCTGCAGGCCCATGTCCATACAAGTCTGGAGAGGCACATACCCCACCCTGCCCAACCCCTCACATCTATCCCCAGCCCTACACACTGGGGGGCTGGGACTGGCCATTGATGTTTACAAATGGGTCCCAGTACAAACAAGGTTGAGAACCACTGATCTAGTCCAATCCCCTGCTCAAAGCAGGACCATCCCTAACTATATCATCCCAGCCAAGGCTTTGCCTCGCTGGGTCTTAAATACCTCCAAGGATGGAGATTACACCACCTCTCTGGGTAACCTGTTGCAATACTTTGCTATGCTCCCAATTTTTCCTAGTGTCTAACCTAAACTTCCATTGCTGCAACTTGAGACCACTGCTCCTCGCGTCTCACGGACTGCTCTTCAGCAGCCTACACCCAACCTTGAACAAACCCTTCTGCTTGGCCGTTCAAAACATAGCCCCCTGAGCCACAGCCTCTCCTCCTAATCTCCAACCTAAATTCCCCCTGCTGCAGCTTGAGCCCATTGCTCCTAGTCCTCTCCCCTACAACCACAGAGAAAAGCCCATCTCCACCCTCTCTGCAACTGCCCATCTGGTATCTGACAACTGTTACCAAATCCCCCCTCAGCTTTCTTCTCCAGGGTAAATAACCCCAATTCTTTCAGCCATTTCTCATAAGTCTTGTGCCCCAGACCCCTGATCATTTTTGTTATCCTGTGCTGGATTCTTTTCAAAAACTGCCCATGTCCTTCTTGAAACATGGGACCCAGAACTGGAACACAGTACTCCAAGTAAGGCCTTACCTGTGCTAAAAGAATCACTTGTCTTGATTTGCAAGTGACAGTCCTGTTAATACAACCCAGTCTGCTGTTGGCTTTTTTCCCCCCTATGTTTTGCTAAACCAAGAGCACACTGTTGGCTCATATTCTGCTTATGAACCATCGTAACCCCTGGGTCCTCCTCGGCAGTGCTGCAACCTAGCCAGCCATTCCCCAGTTTGTATTTGTGCATATCATTATTCTATCCCCAGTGCAGGACTTTGCACTTGTCCTTGTCAAATCTCATAGACTGGAGAAATGGTCTATAATCAACCCAGGTCATTCTGGATCCTAGCCCTGCCCTCCAGAGTGTCTGCAATTCCATCCAACCTGGTGTCACCTGCAAATTTGCTAAGCATGCACTCAGTCCCATCATCCAAATCATTAACGAAGATGTTGAACAACACCAGGCCCAGGGCAGACCTCACTTGATATTTCCTCCCCCGACTAGACACTGAAACATTTAGGGCTACTCATTGAATACAATGATCCAACCAGTTACGTGTCCACCTGCCTTTGTCTAGTCTCTATTTCCTTAACTTGTTAATGAAGATGATATGGGAGATTATCATAGGACAGTACTGAGATCAGGAGTTATGCAAGAGTGCAAGTCACTGCTGATCATGAAGGAAGTGGAGAAGTTGTAAGAACGGCAACTTAGCAAACCCCTTAAATGAGCCACTAGCAGACTAGTGGCTTACAAGGGAGGAATAGTGAATAGGGCACTACAAGAACCAGAAGTTTCTTCAGGTCAAGGAAAGTTTCATCCACATATAGCTGTAAGGATATGTGTGCGTGTCAAGGTGGCTGAATGGGGTTCAGGGAAACAGTGAAGGAATGTCCTTAGCTCATGTGGATTGTCATAGCTCAGCTGAAGTCCATGCAGTTATGATACTTTATGCCAATGAAGGATCTGCCCCAAGAGGAAAGAGAGCATGAGTGAATTTGCACTTGTTCCAAGATGGACAATTTTGTAATCTCCAAAAGCAGGGCACAGAGAAGTACTTTTTCTTTGTAAACTAGCAGTAGGAGCAGCTGTGCCTTGCTCTCAGCATGTGAGAAACAGTTCTCTCTACCTACAGGCAGCCTAGCATCACCTAATCCACACCCCAGTGACACGATGAGAAGCAGTTGTATATCTGTATCCTACTGAAGGGCTATAAATGAAAGGTGCTTAAAAAAAAAAAAAATGCGGAAACAAAAGTGATTTATGTCCATCTATCCATACCCTGTCATATATTCCTTGAACATCAGACTCACACCCCTGTTATTCGTTCAGCAGAGAGGAACCAAAACAACAGCTAAACATAGACTCCATTAAAGAAAAAGTATGTTATCTTGGTAGATGATAAGATCATCTGTAATTCTTCAAGAAGAAGAACAAATGTAACAAGAGAAACCAATTACTTTTCCTTCATTGGCCCGAAGCACATGGTTAGGGTTTTTATTAAAAGCTAATCAGTAAAACTGGACTTCTCAAGTGGGCAAAGTTTGGTGAATTTGTTTTCGTTCTGTTTTTAAGATTTGCCTCATTTCTTCCCAGGTGTCTTGGTGTCCCATGCTGAAAAATAAGGAGACCACCGTACTTATCAGCAATGCCGTGCTTTGAATCCTGAAGAGAACTAGAACACGCCTGAAATAAAATTTGTGAGCTACGCAAGTCCTTGAACTGCTCTATAAAACTTTTTATAAATGCCATGATTACATTAGGTGCGCTACTTTAGCCGTTTTGTTCAGCACAGCGAACAGCGAGACTTCATGAGAGGCTGCCTAATGAGGAAATTGGAAAAAATTATCTAGGACAGAACTTTGTTATTCGTAAAAAAAAAAAAAAAAGCTAAGGCCCTTAGCACTAAGGCAGAGCAGATGAATAGCGCACTGAGGGTTTATTGCATTTAATTGCACAATTTATTAAACACTGACAATTTCTCTTGAATAACCTCTTTCACTAACTTTATTACTTTCACACAGCAGTGTATGATGTAAAGAACCAACCCCTGAAGGAGAAGTTTGAATTGCTCCAATAATATTTCATTGGAGAGGTCGGTAGCATGATGCAGTATAAGAAGCCAGGCTAGATGGTCTTAATATGGTCTAATCTAATATAGGGAATGGAGGTTGTTCAGAAAGGTAAAGAAAACTGACTCAGCCTCCTCCCTCCCAGCCATCCTAAATCACCCTGGCTACTCCAGACAGAAGACCGGGCAAACTCCAGTGCCGTTGTTTCTGCTGCATGGGCATTCAGCCACTGCCTAATGTAGTACATAGTAGCTAAAGGAACTGATACTGTTTACGGCTCCTTGCTGCATTTCAGGTGTTTCCTGTAATACCCAGTTTCTTACCGATACCATTTGAGGTATGCAGCTATGGAGAGGAAAAGCATTTGCTTCTTTAAATGCTTTCAGCATGTTAAGCAAGACTTTCCTCCTTAACAAGCCTACACACATCATCCATCTGATGGCAGGTGGGATGGCAAGAGTTAATAGCTCTGTATGGTGGCTCTTTCCTCCTTTCCCCCACCAGCCTCCTTTAATTAAAATGGATCCAAATACAAGTCTCCCTCTTTTCCTCAGGTTGTTATTCCCCTTCCCTTGAAATGGCAGCTATAAGCACTTTGTTTAATTAATTGAAAGGTTATCTAGTTGCACTGTTACTTCTGTAAGTGTCTATGTCCTTTGCTGAAAGGCGGCTTTCTCATGTTGCAGGCAAGACATCTAGGAACAAGGAGGACTCTTGAAGTGTAAATGGCTATTAAAATCTTCTGACATCCCTCTCCTTGCTACAGCCATAGGCCATTTTCTTCCCTTCATTTAGAAAAGGAGCACACCCATGTCATTAACCCAAGTAAGAGTCAAAGAGCTGAACCCTTCTATAATTTTGTATACCCCCCCAAAAATGTACTTGCTGGGGCTACAAAGAGGGATCAAATCTGGCCAGGTTTATTCATGAGAACACATTCAAAAAGAGATGAGCTCTTTTCCTGGTTATAAATGAATATAAGCATGCCTGAGCAGGCCCAATGCTCCTTAGAGCAAGGGACTTTTTATGTCAGACATGCTCAGATCTAGGGAGAATGAGACAGCAAGGCTCAGTGCAGAATTCACCTCCAGCACACCCTCATGAAGGAAGTACGAGAGACTTGGAAATAACTTATGGCATGTACCCAAGGTAGCAAACAAAGCAGGCAGCGTGGGAGGCAAGGAACACGTGGTGGTTTCAACAATCCTCCATCAAAGTGTGTGCTGTGAAGATCAGCGTGGCATCCTCAGGGCTCCCTGGGAATCAAGCATTCAGGTAGCTAGGAGGCTTCACGTCCAAGCACAAAAGATGGGACTACCCGCCATAGACACAGTGGCTGCATTTCCCCATTCAAGTGTGCACTCCACAGAGAAGTATAAGGAGTATCAGTGCATCCAAAAGCCTGACTCCAGAAGACGCAAGACAGGAGATTGGTTACATGAGCAACCTTAAAAGAAGGAGCAGCAAGACAACTACCCCTGAGCTCCCCAGGGATACTGGGAGCAAGGAGGGGGACTAGAAATAGTGAAGCTTGGCAGGATTCAGAGTTTGCTGCTGTCAGCAGAGGAGAGGGACAGGACTCATTTCAGGACCAAGAGCACGTCAAGCCTCAGACAGATCAGAGTGAAGTCAAGGGTCATTACTGACAGCTTTAGTCTGTATGTGAGAGGTCACTCACATGCAAATGGACCTTTAGGCTATCCTCAGTGTCCAGCATGGTACAGACTTAAGTACTTCTAGAGCCTCTCAGTACATTCCTCAGTAACAACACCCATCAGTGCCTATAACACTATAAAGCCAACCCCTTTAGATCACACAAAAGGTTTCAAAACCAGGGTAAGCAGCAGCTAGCTATACATACAGCCAGTGAAGCAATGGAAGAGAGTTCACTTAATAAGTTATATAAAAGGGACTGCTGGAATCTTGCAACAAGTATGATTCACAGCGAGCTGCTTGCCCAGGCATAGCTGTAATGCACTTTGCTAGCAACTACACAAAACCACAGGGAAGAAAAAAAAAATGAAGAGAAGGAGACACTTCATTCCCTCGGGAGGAATCTACCAGTGCTCGAGTCAGGAAAGAGTGAAAAGCTCCCCCTGTCCTGCCCTCTGCAAATACACTAATAGTTTTAAATTCCCCTTTGTTTCACTTTTAAGGAAGGCGCTGGTGGACTAAGATAAGGGTCTCTGCAAGAGGAAGACAGCCAGACTTTGAGGGCTGCTAATGCACAAAACCTGATCCCAATTCAAGTGAGCTATGATACACTTACAAAAAAACCAAAACAAAAAAACCCCTAATGGTCCAAAAGCAAGTAGCTTTAGGAGACAATATGAGAAAAAGGATTATGCTTCCACTCTGCTCAAGTTATTGGTTTGATCCATTCTTTATCTAGACGTAACAAGGAAGTTCCTCTTGTTAAATGTTTAATCACTCCTGCACTCTGACCATACCCGCTGCACTCAACACAACCAGCTGGAAGCTTGCCATGCGCACCCTGAAGCTCCTTATTGACAGTGGAGCAGCCCAGGAGATATCATCTACTAATTAACTGACTGGCTTTCCCACATATATCCACCTATGCTTTTGAGTCAATTGAAAGGAGCAGCTCAGCAGACCCCTATCAGAGCTAGCCAGGTGGATAGGGACTGTTCGCAAAGAAGACAAACCCCACAGACTCGGCCAGGTCACTGAACTGCATCCCCATGCCTGAAGGAGCAGAAAGAGGCACCCCAACTACCCCAGCAGAGAGCAGACATGGCACCCCAGATAGCCTTCCAAGTTACAGTCCCCTCCACACCTCTTTGCAGAGATAATAACATGGACCCTACAAGTCAAACACTAAACACAGGGTGAAGGGAATAATCACTGTCAGGAGCCCCACAAAGGCAAAAGGCAGCACCAGTATTACAATAATTACCACTTCCATGTCTTCCCTGCCAGCAGATACCAATCTGAAGGGTTCAGCCTTGCAGCATATTTTACTGTCACTGTCTGCAGCCAGAGCGTACAGAGAAACACCTCCTCTCCCCTACAGCTTTCAGCACTGGTCCGGGAGGAGGGGAAGGCGGAGCGTGCCGGGAAGCACACCTGAGCACAAGGGCTGCATCACTCCAGCCTGGCCCCTCCCTAGCCAGGCCCTGGGGGCAGTGGAGTGCAGAATATCCTCACCTGGAAGCAGCCCTCTTACTCACACCTTCCTCCTCCCTGTCCAACCCCTCTGAGAACAAAGTTAGGAGCTATCCCCCCGGGCACAGAAGCACAAATCATAAGGGTTTACATGGTACTGCAGAACCTGGTGCAGCCTCAGATTTTGAAGCAGTCTAGAGACCCAGGCCACTCCAGTGCTTGCACAGAGGCAGATGCTATCCCCCTTCCTCACCTGGGGAACTGAGAAAGCCTGTGTAAAGGGTTAATGGTGGGTGGGAAGCATAGCAGAGAGGTGCCTGGTCTCAGGAGGGGCAGTGGTAGGATTACATTTTGTGAAGCTTGTAAGTGGGGGGGAGGACTAGGATTGGGGAGGGGGCGCAGTAGAAAAGGGGGTCTTGGGTAGGTTCAGGAATAGAATAAGTGTATGGGTCTATGTCGGGGGAGAAGGCTGTGAGTGAGAAGCAGGAGGAATACCCTGCCTTAGGGGTGGGGAATGGCCTGGGGGAGGTGAGCTGTGGGGCAGTGCAGGGCTGGCTGACTGGCAGGACAAACTAAACCTCCCAGTCTCAGCAAATGTTTAAAATGTGAGGCCAATTCATTTTCCAGCACTGGCTGTCTTGCTGTAGTCTGCCGCTCTTTCCCACCTTCTGGCTGCTTTTTTTCTATTTGATTAATGCTAACAATGCAATCTGCTCTGTTTATGGGAGAGGAGGTGCCTTCCTATGGAGCTAACAATCTAAATACTGTTAGTGCATTTTCTAGGGCTGCTGAAGGTCTTGAATAATATCACCACAAAACAGGCAGCAGGTGCAGAAATAACACTGACTCTGAAGGAGAACACAATCATTTCTTATTGCATTTTGTTCTGCACTTGGACACTGGCCAGTAAATTTGTCAAGGGCTTTGTCGGAAACCCTCGTATTCTGAAATAAAACTTTCAGCTATTTTCTGAGGCACAGTCTTCTCCTTCAGATTCTCCCATAAGATGCCTTGGACCCCTCCACCCTCATCCCGTGAGCCATGTGCTCACGACTGCTATGTGCACTTTTGGCATGTGGAAATATGAAGTGTGGTTTTCAGAAAAGTAAAATAGCTGCAACTCCAAGTGAGGTTAATAGGAGGCACTGCAGTTTCTTGCACTTGAAAGTCCCATAGTTTTTGCCAGCTATGTGGCCCCATACCTATTACACTTACATGGCCTCTCCACCCCACTGAGAGCCAACGAGGAGTGTTTTTGATAGCATAGCATTTCCTTACAGAAAAATTCTTATGTCAGACCTGGGTGAAAGAAGTGTCTGGGAAATGGGAAGGCAAAGGCATCTGCCAGGACACGTGTGTGTGTAGAGGAATGTCATTGCTATGCTACTTCACCACCAGACTAGAGCAATTCCTGCAAAGACCGCTCTGTACACCTGTTATCCCCCACTCTCCCAAAGACTTAATGCAAGCTGAGACTTGAGATCAAGATGGGGGTGAGATTGAGTTTACAGCCTTATTTTTTTCTTTACCCAGAACATCAACATCCTACGGGGTCATCAGATTTGATCCTTGACGGAGAAAATGATAGTAATGATTTGCATTTCTCTAGCACCCTCCACTGAAAGCTCTAATTAACTTTTGCAAGATGCATTTAACTGAGCTCTGCAACTCTTCTAAGACTCAAGAAACAAGGATGCAGAGAGGCTGAGTGACCTGTTGAAGGTCACAGAAACCATGAAAAGCAGAGCTAGGAACAGACCCCAGCATGTCTGGTTTCTGGTCTGTCATCATGATGGCCTGTATCAGTGGCTTTCTTCCTCTCTAAGATGCTCTGAAGTTTTTCCTCATGATTCTCTGAAAGTTAGACCTCTTGCAAAGGTTCACTATTTTACTGTGTGCAGGACCTCTCCTGCAATCCAAAGTTGCTATGCCCCTGATAGTTTGGATAGTGAATTCTCCCTCATTGAATCACCATAAAGTCCTTTGTCCAATTCCCTGTTACCTTACATTACAAGGAAGAGCAAGATAAGAAGACTTCTTTCCTTATCTTTCTTTTCCCTCCTAATGACTTCCACTTTCTTCTCAGTTTTCCTAAAATTTCAGAATCCACCTGATTTCTTTTTCTTCCATCTCCCAGCCCACCATTTTTATGATGCATGCAGCCTAAATGGGGATGGAAAAGGAAGGGCTTAGCAACACTTGCACACATTTCCAAATTCTTGGAAAGTGAAATTTTCACTAGAGTTCAACAGTAATAATCATAATAATCATCATCATATCTCAATTTTCAATGGACCATTTCAATTTATAGAGGAACCTTGAATATAAAAATATTCATTCAAAAGTTGAAGTATTTTGGTTTGCAAGTGTTATTTCTTTTAAATGCAAAATCACTGTTTTCTGCAAAAAGGAAGGCATTTCTGGCAAAACGTTTTGTTTAGTCAAAGCCCCTATTTTCCATCAGTAAATAAGCCTGACAGAAATTATTTGACCAGCTGGAGTCTTCACCTTTAGCTATAATTGGGAATAAAATAGCAGGATAACTGGACCCCAAGGCTTCTGCACCTGGAGAACTTGAAAGCATAAAACCATCTTCACGATCAGCAAAGTCCCATCTGGAAACCCTTCTGTTACTGACTGAGGACCCTGAGAGGGGTGAGCAGAAGATTATTATGCCACGGGTGTCTCCCTGCGTGTTTTCTCCCTCTGCCTATGGAACATCTTGCTTTTTCTCTTCGGAGTTTAAAATTAGCGGGGCAATGTATAAATGAGAACCGAGTAAAGAAGGTAACTCATCTGCTCAATCGGTGGGCAGATGAACAAGCCAGGAGAGTCAGTGTTTAGATGGCTGTACTGCAGTTAGTTTATGCAGAGATAATTTTCAAAACGGATTGGAAGTTTGCCTCGTTCTTTATGTGATATGCTCCATGATGTAAGGATCCAGAAGGATGTGGTTCAGAAGTTTTTTGAACCAGACAGGACAGGACAGGTAGCCTTGGCATCATAGAAGGTTTCCCACTGTTTACAAAAACCCAGCAAATTATTTGTTTTAAATGAGAAGAAGAGACTCCAAATTGTCCCTGTGCCTAGGAACAGTAGTTCTCCTTAGCCAAGAGAGTATTGTCAGATTTTCCTGCAAGAAGGACCAACAGCATTTGGACCTACACATATAAAAAGTCCTAGGTGTATAGGGCAAAAGACTAAAAGGTATTAGTCAAGCTCTGCTGCTACTGGAATCAGATATAAACTCCTTTGCATTGGGCACAGAGTTAAACCAAAAACAAGCATGGCTGATAATCCCACCCACAGAACCTCCTTATAGAAAAACAAAATCTCTGCTCAGGTTATCTCATCTCTATTATACTTAATGGGTATATCTACACGTTCATGAATGTGCTTTAGGCAATGCACATTAAACGCAATACCTCCATTGTGAGGTACTAGAAAAATGCGCATTAGCCTGTTTTAATGCGCATTAGCGAGAGAAAATGGGTTTTTATGATGCTTTAATGCGCATTAACATAGGCAAATGCACATTAAAGGGGATGTGTAGACACACCCAACGTATAGCTAATATCTTATCATGATCCCCTCTGATAATCAGTCAAAAGCTATATTTGCATTAAAAAGAAGGGTCAATCTAATCCCCAAATGAGACTGCCAACTCAGTATGTGACCCTGTGTGTTCAGGTGAAGTTACACAGTACACTTGGAGCATAGTAAGTGCACTTAAAGCACGAGCACTCACATTTTGAAGTTTGTTAACTTATGCTAAGTGCCCTTTGAGTGTCTCAAAGTTACACCACTTTAGACACGGGTTAGCTCTGGACTGTGCTACCTGGGTCATGTTAGGGTAACTTAATTTTACTCCATGGAGATAAAACAAGCAATTTGCAGTCTTCCAGACTCCTAGGATGCACCACTCCCAGCAGGAATAGAGTCCAGATGTGATGGCTCCTAGCTACAACCCTCCTCACCAGTGCTCTAGTGGCAAGTCAAAACTACAAAAAACAGCATTAACCCTTACCATTCACAGCACATTCTAACTTTCACAACACACAACGTTACTCAGCTGTATTATGGTCTTACTGTAACATGTAACTTACCCCTTAGACCATACGAAAGCATGAGATAATGAACTTTGAAGTGAAGACACTTGCATTTTAAGTGCCCTTAATATGGTCTAAGTGTAGCTTAACATGTCATTTCACCTTTACACCCACTGCTGCCATTGAACACTAGGTAACCAGGTTCCTGGTAATTCTGTCTGATGTGGGGCTAGCATTTTGGCCCTGCAAGGTCAGGTCCTACAGCCCATCTTGCTCCATTCTCAGGTGAAACTCCTAGTTGCCATGTGCAAAACTCAGAATGTAGCAGGACTTGGCTGTGCTAAATGCCCACTTTTGCCATATTGATATAGAGAGGATTCATTACCTGATGCATGACTGTAAAGGACTATAGAGATGCAAGTGTTTTTGCCATACCCATTTTACCTGTGGGTGAATTAAAGCTCAGGTTATCACTGAACTGGAAACAAACCCCAGGTGCCTTGACTCTCAGGCTCTAGTTCTAATCCATAAATGCATACCCTGTTCCCTTCCAAGGGCTCTGTTAGGTCTCCTATTTGATATCAATCCTCTCGTCTTTACCTGTGGGAAGATGGAAGAAGTATATACGGCTGTATGCACTGCTATTCTTTATAAATCAGGCTGTGCTACTTTGAGCACAAAAGAGACCTCAGAATGATGAAAACATGTTTCCCAAGAGGAAAGGAGAATCTTCCTCATCATGAAGTATCAGTTTGGCAAAAATAAATACCCACTCCAATTATGTTTCAAAATAAGGCATCTCTTCTTTTTCAGTGATTCTTTTTTAGTGATCTGTTTACAAACCAGGACTAGGGACAAACCACATTTCTATTGTCACCGGCTATTTCTGAA